TAATTGATTTAGCCATTTCTGTGTTGGCATGTATTAAGTTGTTACCAGTTTTCTTAATGTTATAAACAATATTTTATTGCACATAATTCCTTGTGCACATGTGACTATTTTTATTTTGTTCTGTTTTTTTTTTAAAGATTTATTTATTTATTTGAGAGAGAGAGAACGAGAGAGAGAGAGAGCACATGAGAGGGGGGAGGGTCAGAGGGAGAAGCAGGTTCCTTGCTGAGCAGGGAGCCCGATGCGGGACTCGATCCAGGGACTCCAGGATCATGACCTGAGCCGAAGGCAGTCGCTTAACCAACTGAGCCACCCAGGTGCCCTATTTTGTTCTGTTTTTGTTTTAAGTTTATTTTTTAAATTTAAATTCAATTAACATATATTATTGGTTTCAGAGGTAGAAGTCAGTGATTCATCAGTCTTATATAATACCCAGTGCTCATTACATCACATGCTCTCCTTAATGTCCATCACCCAGTTACCCTATCCCTCCACTCCCCCTCCCCTCCAGCAACCCTCAGTTTTTTCCCTGAGATTAAGAGTCTCTTATGGTTGGGCGCCTGGGTGGCTCAGTTGGTTAAGCGACTGCCTTCGGCTCAGGTCATGATCCTGGAGTCCTTGGATTGAGTCCCGCATCGGGCTCCCTGCTCTGCAGGGAGTCTGCTTCTCCCTCTGACCCTCCCCCCTCTCATGTGCTCTCTCTCAAATAAATAAATAAAATATTAAAAAAAAAAAAGTCTCTTATGGTTTGTCTCCCTCTCTGGTTTCGTCTTATTTCATTTTCTCCTCTCTTCCCCTATAATCTTCTGCCTTGTTTCTTAAATTCCACACATCATGGGGCGCCTGGGTGGCTCAGTCATTAAGCGTCTGCCTTCAGCTCAGGTCATGATCCCAGGGTCCTGGGATCAAGCCCCGCATCGGATTCCTTGCTCGGCAAGGAGCCTGCTTCTCCCTCTCCCACTCCCCCTACTTGTGTTCCCTCTCTAGCTGTCTCTCTCTCTGTGTCAAATAAATAAAATCTAAAAAAATAAAAATAAAAAATAACTGAATTCCACACATCAGTGAGATCATATGATAATTGTCTTTCTCTGATTGACTTATTTCACTTAGCATAATACCCTCTAGTTCCATCCCCGTCATTGCAAATAGCAAGATTCCATTTTTTTTTTTTTGTGATGGCTGCATAATATTCCATTGTGTGTGGGTGTGTGTATGTATATATATATACACATCTTTATCCATTCATCTGTCAATGGACATCTGGGCTCTTTCCATAGCTTGGCTATTGTGAACATTGCTGCTATAAACACTGGGATGCAGGTGCCCCTTCAGATCACTATTTGTATCTTTGGGGTAAATACCCAGTAGTGCAATTGCTGGGTCATAGGGTAGCTCTATTTTCAACTTTTTGAGGAACCTCCATACTGTTTTCCAGAGTGGCTGCACCAATATCTTCTCCCATTCTGTTGGTTGTCTTTTGGTTTGTTGACTGTTTCCTTCACAGTGCAGAAGCTTTTTATCTTGATGAAGTCCCAATAGTTCATTTTTGCCCTTGCTTCCCTTGCCTTTGGCGATGTGTCTAGCAAGAAGTTGCTGTGGCCGAGGTCACAGAGGTTGCTGCCTATGTTCTCCTCTAGGATTTTGATGGATTCCTGTCTCACATTTAGGTCTTTCATCCATTTTGAGTCTATTTTTGTGTATGGTGTAAGAAAATGGTCCAGTTTTGTGACTGTATTTTTTTTTTTTAAGATTTTATTTATTTATTTGAGAGAGAGAATGAGAGAGAGAGAGCAGGAGAGGGGGGAGGGTCAGAGGGAGAAGTAGACTCCCTGCCGAGCAGGGAGCGCGATGCGGGACTCAATTCAGGGACTCCAGGATCATGACCTGAGCCGAAGGCAGTCGATTAACCAACTGAGCCACCCAGGTGCCCTGTGACTGTATTTTTAAGAAAGATTCTTTGAAAGAGACATTAAGTGAAGCGTATACTAATTTCCTTTCTTAGCAGTGGTTTAGGTTAATAACTTCCTGACTACAGTAGGCCTCCATTCCAACCTAACCTAACCTTGTGAGTTGCATGGCTCCTCCCTACAGCTGTGTAAATCATACATCAGCATCTAAACAGTCTTTCATGGGCTGAATTTGGGTTGTTTTTTTGTTTTGTTTTGTTTTGATGAGACATAATTGAAATAACAGACAATAATCTGGCAATGCAGCCTCCTTGCACCTGACTCTGGGGAAAGGTTCGTGCCTCCTGGCAAATTAAAGAATAAAGAATTTGAGTTGAATAGACAAGTTCTTGGCTGTGCTCTGGGGCCAGATCCCTCAGAGAATAAGTCTCTTTCACTTTGTACTGTGTCCACTCACCCAAGAAGCCAGTGGTAAGACCCACAGGTTTGTCCAACCCCTTCAGTCTTGGACTTGTCAATCTCTAGGACAGTTAAAAAGAATAGTCTTTTAGCGATTTATTTATTTATTTGAGAGAGAAAGAGCAAGAGTGCGTGTTCATGTGAACATGAGCACATGTGAGTGGGGGAGGGGCAGAGTGAGAGAGACTCCCCAAGCTGACTCCCTGCTGAGCATGGAGCCTGATGCGGGGGCTTGATCCCAGGACTCTGAGATCATGACCTGAGCCAAAATCAAGAGTTATCTGCTTAATCAACGGAGCCACCCAGGTGCCTCCAAAATAGACTTTTTAAAGAGAGGTTTAGGTTCTCAGCAAAATTGAACAGAAGGGACAGAGATTTCCCATAGACTTCCCTGCCTCCCCCCCACTCCCCTTCCTACCCCCATGCACCGCCTCCCCATAATTAACATCTCCCAGCAGAGTGGTATATTAGTTACAAATGAGGAATTTGCATTGACACATCATTATCACCTAGGGTTATAGGACCATCTTTCTCCGCAGTTCTGCACGGCTTGCCCTTCATTTCCTTTAGGTCTTTGCTCAAATGTTACATTCTCTGATCACCCTATACAAAATTACAACACCTTACCTTGGTTCCTTGCTGCCACTGTACACTTTTGTTTTTCTCTGTAGCGCCTTTTAATATCTAACATCGACGTATTTTTCTTACGTGTCTTCTTTGCTAAACTCCTATAGTTTGCAAGCTCAGTGATGGCAGGTCTGTTTTCTTCACTCCTATTCTCTGTATGTGGCTTAAGAGTAGATGCTCAGGAAATACTTGCTGGCTTAGTGACTAAATGAACAAATAGGGGAACTCAGGACCATTCTCAAGGTTGGTGTTCCTCCACAACCCAACCTACCATCTCCCTCACTGCCCTCTGGCTCTCCAACAAGCCCGAGGGAGGGCACGGTTGGGCTGCAAGCAGGTGGGCATCTTGATTGGGAGGGTTGTGTGGGAGACTGCCATCACAGACTCTTTGGAAGCTGTCACAGTGTTACGAAGAATAATGCTGAAAGGACACACTATTTTATTGAGCATCTACTGTGTGCCGGTCCTACATGTTGAGAGAGAGAAAAGGAGAGAGCAGCAGAAGAGGTGAAGGGAGAGAAAAGGAAGGAGGGGGAGTAATGGCGGGAAAGGGAAGGGAAAGAGGGTAGAGAAAGAAGGGAAAGGGAAGTAAAAGTGTGTTGGAGAGCGGGAAAGTGAGAGAGAGTAAGGGGTGGCGCCAGCAGTGGTGGGGTGGGGGGAATGATTGGGATTTCAGTTGGAGAATTTAGGAAACTTGCCTAAGCCCCTGTAGGGCTGCTAGAGCTGGTTGGAGGAGTGTGTTACTCCAAAGCATGGTTTTTTGTTTTTTGTTTTTTAATTTTATACCCCAGAGCATGTTTGACCCTGAAAAATTTAGAGCTCTACCAGTGTGAGTTTAATTAGAGTATTTGTAGCATCCATATTGCATTCTTTCTTGGGGGGAGGAGATAGAGTGACAGTGAAATCTGCTGGTATGGAAACATTGTGGTGAGCAATTTTAATTTCATGGAGGAGGAGATAAAAGACCTTATCAGGTGTCAGAGTAGAGCAGGACTATATTCAGTTTTCAGCCTCAGCCGGAAGTGTAACAGCCTCTTAAACGTAAGAGGCAGGCTAAAACTGTTACAAATGTAGTGTGTTTTCATTTGTATCACATAGTTTGTTAACTCTGTACCAAGATGATTTGTAATAGATCCTTTGCCTTAAGGATGTTTGGAAAAATTGAAACTATTTAAAGCAAGTTAGGAGAAGTGCAGTAAATTTACAAATACCTACAAGAAAGGGAAAAGGAAACAGCTGTTGATAGTGTTAACCAGAGAGAGAGGTTGTTTCTAGAGATACACAGGACAGTACCAAGGCCATCTGCCCAGATTGTATAACTTTTTCTGTTTTCCTTTTTCCTTTTTCTCTCTTTCATTTTTCCCAGTACTCTTTTGAGAGAATGCTCAAAAATGTCTTTGGAGATTAAGCACCTTTTATGAGTGGAAGTAAATTCTTACAATTGGCTCTTATTTATCCTAGTTTTTTATTAAGTATTCTTATGTAAAAACCAACTGGCTGATTTCCTTTCTTGTGCATACTCTTACCTTTCTACCTTTTGATTCTAGGGAGGGTGTTGACACAGCCTGTTACCTCAGGCAAATTACTTAAAACCGAGTTGCAGTTTTCCTCTTTAAAATGACTTATTAGTATATGGGGTATTAGCATCTACCTTGCAAGTCTATTTTCATGTTTACATGAAATGTCATTTTAAAAGGGCTCAACACAATGCTTGGCAAGAGTAGACACTGGGGAAATGTTATTTCCTTTCTTCCTTCTCATGATAAACTTGTGCATATTTCTTCTGGCTGAAATGGCTGTGAGCAGCGGCCTCAAAATTAAAAGTACATTTGGCCTTTGATATATGGTAACCAGTTTCTTCCTGCAACTTGAGAGTTGATGAAGAACCACTCTCTGATTCCAGTGAGAACATTGAATTCTGTTTCTAGTAAGATCTTTTTGGAAGTCATGTATACCTATGAGTTTACTTATGCGCTAATAAGTCACAGGTTGCGCTTTCTCTTTCAGATGAACAGACTTGTTATTTTCCACTGACTGGCAGCAATGGCGTTCACCGGAAGGGTCAAGAATAGCGGCAGCAGGTAACGGTGAAATCCATGATTCAACGATGTGACAATATTTAATTGTAGAGTGTATTTTTCAAAGAATAAGCTTGAACGAAGAAAATATGGGAAAATTCAGTTTTCTCTACATGAAGCCAAACCTTAGACTGCCCCCATATTTTCTTTCAATCTAGCATTTTCTGAGCCTCCTAACTCATTTCTTTAACATATGGATGTTATAGTAGATCAGCATCCTAATTCTGGGTTCAAGATATTGGTCTATATTACACAGCTTTGGAGAAATGAGCCACCTATTCATGAAATCCACCTTCTCCCAAGAGCTATGAAGGAGGGAATTTTGTCAGTTACATTTTAATGCTTTCAGATCTCTCCCTCCACATAGAATGTGCACATGGAGTTAACTTCCTTCTTGCATATCCTACATGATCAGGGTTGGCCGAGGGGAGCATATTAACATTCTGAAGCAGCTATTAAGAATAACTCATTTTCTACCCAGAGGGAATTCTTTTTTTTTTTTTTTTAAATATTTTATTTATTCATTTGAGAGAGAGACAGAGAGAGCACAAACAGGGGGAGAGGCAGAGGGAGAGAGAAGCAGGCTCCCTGTTCAGCCGGGAGCCTGACATGGGGCTTGATCCCTGCACCCAGAGACCATGACCTGAGCTGAAGGCAGATGCCCAACCATCTGAGCCACCCAGGCGCCCCTCCAGAGGGAATTCTTAATGTCACTGATCAATTTTTATTTCTACTGTTAGATACTCAAGCTTACTCAACTAATATTTATTAACAGATGATGGTGCCTGTAATTCTGGAAGGTCCTGCCTGGATGCTTTCCTACGCCCCCTCTCGGGCTCATTTGGGAACCTCTTCCTCTATTCCAGGTGGCCTTGGTGGTACTGTTGATAGAGGAAGGCCCGTGACCCAGGCTGCAGCAGCCCCCCTTCTGCTGGAACTCGGGGACGCTGATGTCCGCTGCCTTTAGGCTTGTGCATGATGTTCGTTACACATAAGTTTTACATTTTTATGCCATTAAATGTCTTGTCCTTTATGGGTTCTGGTTTTATTGTGCTGAGAAAGGTCTTTCCAACTCCGAGATTGTGCAAATAATGTCATGTGATCTCTGCTGACACTTGAACGGTTTCAATTTTTGCATTTAAATCAGAACTTGAGCTGGTGGCCTCTGGGACGATCTGGTCAACAGATGGGTTTTGTTTGGCCCCTCACAGTGTTCTAAAAAAAAGATCTGCCCGTGTTTTTTACCTAACCATCTAGACTCCCCAAATCTCTTTAGAAATGTAAGATTTCACGCCAGGGGGCTTGCACTGCTGTGTGGCAGCACTTAGGTACCATTGAAGGGCTGCTGTCTTTCCCAGGGCCTGAGCTGAGACGAGTTCTAATTCACACCTTACCAAATGGCATGTCACCAGTACGCTTCGGGGTATGCCGGCATGTTCATCCTGTCGGCCTGCCCGTCAGCCAGAACTCCAGAATTCCCACCTGTTTCCTCCTGCAGACATCTGCTTTGTCAGGTTGCCCCAGAAAGACTCGATGTAAAAAAAAAAAAAAAAAAAAAAAAGGTCTGGAGAGTGCAGATGCTTTTCTAGTTTGCTGCAGTTCCCACACAGGTGGACTCACACATTTACTTCACGGCTTAGCCCCCTTCACTTGTGACCCATGCCAGATCTTGGACTTCTACATTTTTAAAATTTTTATTGATTAATTATTATTTTTTAAGATTTTATTTATGTATTTGACAGAGAGAGACACAGCGAGAGAGGGAATACAAGCAGGGGGAGTGGGAGAGGGAGAAGCAGGCTTCCTGCTGAGAGGGGAGCTCAAGACCCTGACATGACCTGAGCTGAAATTGAGTCATATGCTTAACCGACTGAGCCACCCAGGCGCTCCAGGAGTCATTAAAAAAAAAAAAAAAAAAAAAGGCTAGCCAGTTGTTTCAACATAATTTAGTAAATCTCTATCTTTTCTCCATTGATTTGAGTGCATCATCTTAATTACATCACATTTTTTAGTCTGTTGGACTCTTTTGTTCCATTGATTGTTTCTTCTGGCAATGGTGCCCTACTATTTCACTGTATTTTCTTAGATCTTAATATTCAGGCACTTCTTTGTCACTACTTTTCATTTTTAGAATTTTGGTAGTTACTCACATCTGATTACATTTCCATGCTTCCTCTGAAGTCATTAGTCCTTTTCTAGAAAAATGTTGGCATTTTGATTTGGGTCCCTTTGAATTTCATCAATTAGGGAGAGTTGCATTCTATAGCATATTAAAACTGGGTCTTCCTACCAAGAGTCTAAATATCAGAATGGTGAACTTTTAAGAGGATGAAGAAATTTTAAATTTCAACTGTAAGATTTTTGTGGGCGTATGATTTTTCAAAAATTTCTAGTTGTTGACATCGCATCCTATGTAATTTTTGGTAGAATAATTATAATACAGTATTATCAGTGACAAGATTAAAAAGTATTTTGTATTCTATTATTTACATGTTTGCTATTGTTAATAATTATTAGGATGGGTGGGGCACATGGGTGGCTCAGTTGTTAAGCGTCTGCCTTCGGCTCAGGCATGGTCCCAGGGTCCTGAGATCGAGCCCCACATCAGGCTCCCTGCTTGGCGGGAAGCCTGCTTCTCCCTCTCCCACTCACCCTGCTTGTGTTCCCTCTCTCGCTGTGTCTCTCTCTGTCAAATAAATAAACAAAATCTTTTAAGAAAATCATTATTAAGATGGGTAAGTGGCATTTATAGGAACATTCTGGCAGTTATAGAACCAGTTTTATTGTTTATTACATTTTTTTTCAACTCATAACCTCCCTGATGTGCTCCTTTAATACCCAGTGCAAGTGATAAAGCTAGGCAAAGTCCTGAATGGAGCTCAATTTTTAATATATATCAATAGCTTACTGTTTAAATGTTTAATCATGACAGGTTAATCTTTTAGTAGTCCAGAAAAAAACCCCATCAAATTCATGTGGAACTGGTCCAGGGCTAGCACGTATTTGAAAGGAAACAGATGTGTATTGAGTATGCAACTCTAATTGTTCAAACTAAACAGAAATCTGAGTGTGAGCCCTTACTTTGCTCAGGGATATCAAAAGTCATAAGTGTGGGCAGAATATTAATGTAATGTGTAAAGACAGTGTTTTAGTTCTTATAAATAGGCTTATTCTCTAATTTGCAGATTTATCAGCATTAGACACTAGTGAATTTCAGCTCACTTATATTTACCCCCACCTTCCTTTTCCTCCCCTTTCTTTCTGTTCTTTATAAAAATTGTTATTGGAGTATAACAAACTGAATAGGGCAGACATTATTAGTACAGTTCAGTGCGTTTTCACAAAGTGAACACACTTGTGTAACCGATCAAGTGACAATACCAGCCCTCCAGAAGCCTCCTCCTGTCCCCTTTCAGCTACTAACTCCCTCAAAGGCTGCCACTCTTCTGACTTCTAACACCATGAATTTGTTTTGTTTGCTTTTGAATTTTCTTTAAACTTAATCATGGAGTATACTTTTTATATTTTCTCTTCAGTATTGATGTTTATTTTTATTCTATTTCATACATTTAAATATCTTTAACTTTTAAATATCTCAATGTTTTTTGTATTAAATTACTATGTTAGGTATATTTTATATGGCCCATATTAAATATTTTTATGTTCCTTTCCATCAACTTTCCAGTCTGATATGATAATATAATTAGCCTTATTCTTTCTTCCATTTCTTCCTCTTCTACCCTCCAACTATTAGCTCTGCTTTTAGTTTTAAATTGTCCAGATTGACAGCACATTTTATTTTATAATTATGCATTAAAAGCTTTGTCTCTAAATTGGTAATAGAAGTTTGAAAAATCGATCCCGGTGTCCTGGGATCGAGTCCCACGTCGGGCTCCCTGCTCAGCGGGAAGCCTGCTTCTCCCTCTCCCACTCCCGCTGCTTGTGTTCCTGCTCTTACCGTCTCTGTCTCTGTCAAATAAACAAATAAAATCTTAAAAAAAAAAAAAAAGTTTGAAAAATCAGGGGCGCCTGGGTGGCTCAGCCGTTAAGCATCTGCCTTCAGCTCAGGTCATGATCCCAGGGTCCTGGGATCGAGCCCTACATCGGGCTCCCTGCTCAGTGGGAAGCCTGCGTCTCCCTCTCACACTCCCCCTGCCTGTGTTCCCTCTCTTGCTGTCTCTCTCTCTCTCTGTCAAATAAATAAATAAAATCTTTAAAAAAAAAAAAAGTTTGAAAAATCAGTAGCCCTATTCACATTATTGTGATCGGGAAGCAAAATAGTGTTTAGGGTTTCATTTCATATTTCATATAGGGTCATATTTCATATGGGTTCAAAGTTCTCACAAGTACCACTTGAAAAAGAAGGTTCATTTTGGTCAGGACACATCAGTTCTTTAGCGGAATAAATTGTTCAAATTCCTGCCACATTTTAAATTGCTTCATCTTTGAATGGTGTTTTCATTTTTCCTGGAGTGTTTAGTTACTTTCTTTTTCCTTATTGAGCGAACATGGCTTTTTGCCATTTCATCAGTCTGTTCCCCTTCTTCCCCTTCTTACTCTTTTTTTTTTTTTTTTTAAGATTTTATTTATTTATTTGACAGAGAGAGCGAGCACAAGTTGGCAGAGCAGCAGGCAGAGGGAGAGGGAGAAGCAGGCTTCCTGCTGAGCAGGGAGCCCGATTCGGGGCTCTATCCCAGGACTCTGGGATCATGACCTGAGCTGAAGGCAGCCGCTTAACCGACTGAGCCACCCAGCGCCACCCCCCACTTCTTACTCTTACTTACTGATTGAAAAGTCTCATTTCCCTCTTGGAATCATGAAACTAAAATTAATTTTTACAAAGTGTGTGCTAAATTACATTCTTCTGAAATTGGGCTCAGGTAAGTGAAGCCAGAGAGTAAAGCTGGGATACATTCTGGGAAAATGTTACTTGATGATGGGTGGAAAACATGTGAAGGTAAAACATAAGAATGAAAGAAATTTTATTCCAGGCTGTATCGCCA